TGCGCTTCGCTTGCAGCCGCCTTGCTGCTCTCCGCTTCCTTCCATGAAGATCACGCCCAGGCTCCCTGCGGACACGCGTGCGCGCAACTCAGCCTTAACCCCCTCGAAAAACGACAAGCGTCCTGACCAACGCGGCGCGTTCTAATTCAGCAGTTTCTCATTCAAATTCTACACTCGAGTTCTAATCACGAAAGGTAGCCTTTTGGTGGCTACCTTGAGTATTTCCTTGCGTTAGCAAGGTGCCTGTGTCAGGAGATGTGATGAAAGGTACCCCCTCAAATATTAGATATCTTTCCCCCCCCTTCAACTCCTCCCTGGTCCGCCCCTCCTTCTACTCCTCTTGTTTGGTGGAACCTTAATTTTGCGAGGTATACATGTTTTGGTAATTGGTAGCTCTTTCTGCAATTGAACTTATGTCGAAATCGTTCATGACGGGTGACGCTTAATTTTGCGAGGGGGATTTTGTTTAACAATTGGTCGCCTCTTTCTGCGACTGAACTCACGTTGAAATCGTTCATGACTTGAGTGCAAGTGGTGCAGAGAAAGCGCGGATTCTGATTTGGCAGCCTCCGCCAAAATGATGCACGCACATATGCGTGCAGGCCCGTGGCAACCGACAAACTAACTGCCCCAAACAGATTTCTGGAATTTTCTTTGCTTGAAAAAGCTGCGCTCGAAACTGCGGCCGTGCCAGCCTAGCGGGACACAACTCAGACTTCTTTCAATCCAGTCGCATTACGCTGCCTTCCGAACAAGGGCCCCAAGCACCAGAATTTGCAGCCTGCCTTCTTCTTGCCCTGAACCAGGTTTGCCGCTTCAACATTCTTCTTGTCGTATCCAGTTTTTGAGTTAGGAAGGATATTGCTGTTTGAGTTGTTTCCTTATTTGCTGAGTTATTCCCTATTGAACTCCTTTTTAATTCCAACTCAATGGGCATAAAGCGAATCTTGGTGAGGTACGTCATTGAATTCCAATGTAAGATATAAATTATTATGAACGCTTTTTGAAGTCTATTTAGACTCGAGTTATTCTTTAAGGGCTGTCGCCCTGTGCCGCCGACGTTCTGACTACGATTCTGAGAGAGTCTTGCAATGTGCCCACAGCTTGCTCATAACCTTTTTGCAAGAGTTGGCTTGGCCGTTTTGCGCAAAGGTTGGCGTGGCCGTTTTGTGCAAGAGTTGGCTAGGCCGTTTTGTGCAAGAGTTGGCTTGGCCGTTTTGTGCAAGAGTTGGCTTGGCCGTTTTGTGCAAGAACTGGCTTGGCTGTTTTGTGTAAGACTTTGCTTGGCTGTTTTGTGCAAGAGTTAGCTCGGCCGTTTTGTGCTAGAGTTGGTTTGGCCGTTTTGTGCAAGAATAGGCTTGACGGTTTTGTGCAAGACTTGGCTTGGCCGTTTTGCGCAAGAGTTGGCGTGGCCGTTCTGTGCAAGAATCGATGTGGCTGCTTTGTGCAAGACCTGGCTTGGCTGTTTTGTGGAATCGACTTGGCCGTTTTGTGCAAGAGTTGCCCTGGCCATTGTGCGCATCATCCTTATCATCGTCATGGTGAGCTATCATCATCGTCATCCTCATCATGAGTTGTCATCATTCTCTCGTACTTGGATGTGACGTTCGGCAGCGCTTGCAATGCCAGGGATGCCACCATGATCCTTATCATCATGGTATACGCCATCATCATCATCATCATCATCATCATCATCATCATCATCATTGTCATCATCATCAGTCGTCATCATTCTCTTGTATATGGATTGTGGATGTGACGTTTTGCAGCGCTTGCAACTGGGGATGCCATCATCATCATTATCATCATGGCAAGCCATCGTCACCATCATCAGTTGTCATCATGCGCTTGCAACGCTGGGGACAACTATCATCACCGCATCCCCTACACCCCAAGCAATGGCTAACGTTACTTTTGAAATGCATCTAAAAATAGGACAAGATAGGATGGGTATAAGAATAAGAATAAGAGACAAATAAGAATAAGAAGAGAGTAAGAACGAGATGATGACGATGATGATTCATGTTGATGATGATCATCATTAACATCATGATCATGATAACTATCATCAATCATTATCATGATGATGATAACTATCATCAACCACACCATCCCTTGCATCCCCAACGACGCCTCGCAACAATACTTCATCATGATGGTCGATTATTACTAGCATCGCGGCATCTCCTGCATCCACAACGGCTCTGCGTCATGATAATTATCATCACTGCATCCGCTACATCCGAAGCAACGTCTAATGTCACTGTTGAAATGCATCTAAGCGTAAGACAAGATAGGGTAGGTATAAGAATAAGAATAAGAGAAGAATAAGGATAATATGAGAATAAGAAGAGAATAAGAAGAGACAGAGACGATTATGATTCACGTTGATGATCATCATCATCATCATGATCATGATAGTTGTCATCAATCATGATGATGATGATGATGATGATGATGATGATGATGATGATGATGCTGATGATGATGATGATGATGA